GCCCTCCTCACGTGCTCTTTATAAGGACCCGAAAACAGTGCCTGCACTATAATAAATGTTCAGGGGATAACTATTGAATGGATGAATTAAAAGAAGTCAGACTACAATGGATAAAAACCATCCAAATCAAACTATTCAAAAGTTTAAATTCAAGATTTTCATTCTTATTTCTGATGTATGTGTATCACTGTCTCTACCTCATTTAGGGTAAAGAAAATAAAAGTACTGGTCAATATTTACACCATTTTTATGAGTTTTTATGACATGAGAATTCTAAGAGAGGCACTTGCATAGTAGAATGGGATGTAAGTTCTCTGACATATTCAGATAGATCTCTAGGTTGACTAATGGAACAAGGGATCCTTATGACCTGAGAGTGATCACCACTGGACTTTGAGATTTAAGCTAAGGGGAACTCTTGGAAATTAATTTGCAAACAAAGGACAAGACCCAAGTTCTCAAGGAAATATTGAATGACAACTGTGAAAGCCAGGAACTCATTGTGAGCAGGTCATTTCCATTTATTGGATAAGATGGCCTTTGAATTCCCCAAAGGGTAGTAACCCAATGGTAGTGACTCTACTTAATGTTAGGAACCTGAGAAATGGTACCACACTTTTGCAGAAGGGATACTGTTCTCTGTGCTAAAGACATCAGCCCCAATTTTATAATTTCTATAGGAAAAGCTCAATTATGACTCCATTTCTTAACCACAGTACACCCTTTAACCAAGATTTGTCTATCCTTTTGCTCTAATTCAGTTTTAGGGTTAGACATAATCATTCTAACTCCAGCCTGAATAACTGACATGCCAATCTGAAACGTAAAACCTGAAACCAATTCAATATTTACTAAGGACTTAATCATTTTCCAGTTTGAAGTTATGCACATTCTTTTCTCACTTCAGTACTCTTATTTGCCTTAAGCTCCTCTTTAGTCATTAAGATTGTCAGCAAGGTCGTTCTCATCAAACAACGTGCCACATTCTGGAAATACTTTTAGACCAAATTGAACTCTCAATGTGCCTGCATACCACTAGAGAGAAATGTATGAGACATTTAAGGACAGAGACCCTATATGTTCTAGAATTACTACCTTGTTGTTTCACAGAGAGTTGGGTGTATTCAGAACATACTTGCAGAATGGATGGTAGAGGAAAATCTACCTACAGCTGGATAGAGTTATTTGCATTAAAAACCACAACTACACCTGAACCAGCAGATGTGTGTTTATACACGCATGTGTTCTCAAATTCTCACATTATCATCCTTCTGCTTGAATACATCATCCATCCTTCCTTTTGGAATGTGAGTTTTTGTAACAAAACATGAAAACAAGACTAGCTATAATAAATATCCCAAGAAAGGGGATTCTAATTAGAACTTCCTAAACACACCAATCATCCAACTGAACTCAATTTTCAAAGGATAACTGTGCGCCTTTCCCTAGAAAACGTGCATCTTTCAATGTTCCAGTTTGCAATTTAAATCTCTAGTTGATAATAAGTTCACGGTTTGCCTGTTACGCTTTCCCAGTAAGGTTCGTTTTGAACCCCTTTGATAACTTAAGACCACTTGCAGTGCTGCTCAGTCTAATGCCCTGCACTAGTTGCTTGTTTGCAACTTTTAACACTACTAGAGCTACATTCCCCCATCTGCATTCTTGAGGATGACAAAAGCCAGGCTACACTTTCAACCTCCTAGGATATCCTGCCCTGGAGAATCTCAGCAGGCAATTGGAAATTAGAGTTAGCCTGGAGCTCCGGAATGAATTAAGGATTGCAGAGGTCAATTTGGGAATCATTAGCGTGGAGGTTAAAGGTGAAACGACATGAGAAGATTAAATTACCCAGGGAGAGAACACAGCAAGAGAAGAGAAGCAGATCAATGACAGGACCTTGGGAATTGTTCCATTTAAAGGGGTGAGAGGAGAGACGTGTATGTGTGTGTGTGTGTGTGTGTGTGTACACGCATGTGTACATGCATGGGTGCGCACAAGACTGTCTTTAAGAGAACAGAGAACCCAACAAAGGAAAGCTAAGGGGTGCTTAGGTTCTTAGATGACAACATGATACATTATGAACACATTCAAGCAAGAAGACGTAGCAAAGTAGAAGATTCTCCAAAGAGGTCAAGAAAACAGAGGCCAAAGAAGCCATCAGATTTTGAAGCATGTAGGTTATGGATCACCTGTGGCAAAGCACCCTCCCAAGGTCATTCTTTTGGACTCTGTGCCCACATGTGGATCTCTACAGGTGTATATGTAGAAACCTAAAGCCGGAATAATATTAAATATTCGTATGAGGGAGCCATACAATGTCAGCATGATCTACTACTACTTAGTTCTTACCATGTGCTAGGAATGGTGCTAAGCATTTGACCTATATGATACTTCAATTTCCACAAGTCAATATATGTTTTACATGTGAAAATAATAACTGAAACTGACAAAGCTTAGGAAGTGGCAGTGCCTGTTTTGAACCTGGGATTGGTTTGACCCTAAAATTCCATTGTCTCAGCCCCCAAAGTAATACTTCCATGTCAAGATATTCTATACTATGCTAATATTCTTAGGCAATCTGTGTGTGAGAAGAAAAGAGCTAATATTGATTGCCTTCATTCTCTCACTGCCAGTCTCTTTGCATAGGACATCTTTCACATATCTACCTTCAACATTATGGAAATACAAGAGCATATGCAAAGAACTCCAATTCAGCTCTTTGGAAAGCATGTAGAAGCTATATGATTCTTAAATAAGCAGTCCAATTGCAAATGTATTTATGGCAATAGTTCCCAGTAGTTTGAAAGTTTAAGAACAAAGGTGTGGTGTCATTGATTTGGTGGTTGTTACTGAGATTCAAATTACTTATCACCAAACTGATCCCCAAAACGAGGGAGTTAGGCTGATATGAGGGATCCCCTCCAGCCTTGAGGTTCTAGAAGTTTTATATTCAAGTCAAATGTTAATCATTTTAAAGATATTAAATATGAAATAGAGTGTAAATGCAGCAACAGAACTGGTTGGCATAATTAGCATCCTTTAGTTTATTAAATTTATAAAGATCTATTGTTAAAATAGTATCAAATTACATTTCTGTCTCAAGTCTGCATTGCTAATTTAAAGAGAAACTTGGAAACTACATAAAAAATGATGCATTGAAAAATCCATCCAAATATTTTGTTTACAAACAAGTACAGACCTTAACTAGAGTTGGCTAGAGGAAAAAGAGAGAGAGAGAGTGGCAAACATTCTGACAATTAATGTTTTTTCTGTCTATAATAAACAAACAAGGTTCTGGTCTGAAGAGATTATTATTGCTGTTAATTGTGTATGTGCATAGTAATAATAGTAGGCATTTGGGATGGCTTCCACTGATTGCTCTCCCCTTTCTCTGGATTACAAAAATCTACTCAGAGGACTAAATAATGACAAGTACTTAAGCAAATCGTTCATTATGAGGCAGAGATAATCACAATCTTGTAGAGTTATGAAACTACACATACAAGGGGATTAACAAATGAATTGTGGCTCCATTAGTTTACTAGCATTTGAAAAATGTTCTGGTTTTGCAGAGTTCTCACACACAATTCAGTCCAACAGAATCCAAAAACAACTCCATCACCATTTATCAAAGCCATTTATTTCTTTTCCTATCTGACCATCTATATTCCTCTCTTGCCTTTCATCCAATAAGAGCAGATATAACCTGATCAGCAGCATAACAAAGAGCATACCAGGCCGTGCTTTGTTAAACTGCAAAAATGTCAGAGAGATGGTGCTATTTTGTAGTAAATTTTAAAGCAACCCAGAAGTCTCAACACTTCCTCCATAAAAGTAATTCAAAGGGTAGCAGTCTGTATTTTACTGGTCGTCCAGTGCCTTTTATTTTGTAGATAACAAAATCAAGGCTCAGAGTAGAATGGGGTTTTGTTGATGCCAACCAACTAGTTAGTAGAAGAATCTAATATTCCTGCTACCATGACCTACATGATCTATTAGATTTTTGACATCTTGTAGCATTAATATTGTGTATGTGATTTAGGTGTCTGTGTGTGTCTATATAATTTACCTGAATGAATGATGATTTGGCAATAAGACCAAGCAGTGAATTTATGTTTTTCCTCTCTCCAGTAAATACACTGAGGCCCAATAATGAACATGGAAGTCCAACTACTGAAAACTAAACGTGGCATGTTAAAATTGGCTCAACTAGTCCATTTTAATGGGAGTTGGCCCCATGGAAGAACGTCAAAGCTACAGAGTTTGATCTTGGCATTGGGCCAAGGAGTTTAAGGTGAGACAAACATGCATAGGATGAGAAAGCAGAGGCAGTGGTAAATATTTATGGGGCCAGCAAGCCTGCAGTAGGTCAAGTACAGTACTGGTGGGCAGGGCATCATGTGCAAGCTAGTGGAGCAGACACTTGCCCCTTCAGTGCTAGTATCAACGTGATGGTACAGCATTTAACAACATTTGTCTGCAAGGCTCATCTTCTGGCCTGCAAAGAGGATCTTCTGTTTGATTAGATGTACTCTTCCACAAGGTCTATGTGATAAAGGCTCTTGGCCTATGGGTTTCCTTTATCCTGCAAGTCTACATATTTGCGTAGTGTAAAAGCCCTGATAGCTTCAAATGACTGATTGCCCTCTGAGGACATGATGGCCTAGTTGTTTACTAATTCACCTTACAGCCTTAGAGATGAAAGGCAGGCATACTCAAAACACTGTAAGGGAAAAGGAACAATGACTTACTGCTCAACTGGGATTGTGGGCAAGGACACTCCTTCTACTTTTAAAAAACGAGGTCAGCCTTCAGACCTAAGACTACATGCCTGCATAGTTTTCAAGCTGTTTTAAACTCCAAGAGAGTTGTGAAAAAGATTTGTCCAATCCAAAAGCTTACCTATTAGTTATGCTTAAATTAAACTGTCAGGCACTTGTACAGTCTATTTGTTCTAGCTCAACTTGGTTTAGTTAGACTAGAAATACATAATCACTTACCTCGCTGCATCTAGAATCTGAAAAATCCTCCACCTGTTAAAGGAACAGTAAAACCAGTCGCTAGCAAGACCTTGGTAAGAGAGAGAGTTTAAATAATAAAATGTTTTCCATTTCATTGTGACAACATAGTTCTCCAATGTCCCAAAACTGCAAAGCAACAAGTCATGGATGGTTTCCCTACTTTGCCACCCCTCTCCTCCAGCGTTAGCTTCTCTCTAGTAGTGGGGAAAGTTTGAATCAGAGGGACAAAAGGGTTAGGGTGGCACAAAAACACAGACCTCCGGAGGGTTGTGGGTTGGGGATGATGGATCTACCAGTCATTCATGCTAATTCCATTCCCTTTCACAAAGAGCGATGGCAATCTAAGCAAAAACAAAAGCCAATAAAATGAACACCTGAACAGAGCCCACCCTGGGGTATCACGGAAAAGCCTGGTTGAAGGAACTTAGGAGGAGTTTTCGGAGGTTTTTCATGATACCGGGAATATATGAAGCAAGCTTATCACAAAGAGAAAAAAACGATTAGACCTTGCTGATGCTCTGCACAACTAAAATTCTAAGTACACGCGAAGCGATAATATAAATCATCTCTCTAGCCCCTTCTACACAAACACAAGACATCCATCAAAGCAAGCAATGTACCACCACTCGAAACCAAACCAAACCAAAACAAAAAAACTAGCTTAGCTGTTTTCAAAATCTACATCTTGGTGTCACAAAGCAGTAATTCTACTGTGTGGATTTCTGGTATTAGCAGGAATTGTGAAGTTTTACCCAAGCCAGTTGCTAATCTAAATGTTCAAATGACCTCAGCTTTTGTATTATATGAGAACAAGGGGTATTATAATATATCAGGACTTTTATGTCCAGAGTGGGATTTATGGCTTGTGTGGGTTCTTGAGAGAAATGTTTTCTTTATGTTAGCTATGTATGCAAGTTCTAGAGATGAGTTAAGTAAAATCTCTAACAACACAGCTAGCAGCATAGCTCTAACAGCCTTTAAAAAGCAGTATGCCATTTATTTTCCTTAATACTCCTTGGTTGTAGCTAAGTTCTCCTTCCCTAGAACTGAGTTGTCAAGACTTCTGGGAAAGAAAGAATTACAAGAAGAAAACTGATATGCTTGCTGAGCCCTGACATGGTCTCTACAAAACAAGACATCCCCATGGCTGACTTACCGTGATGACCAATGTGCTCTTCTTTCACTAGCCACAAAATAAAAAAGCAATCTTGTGTAAGATGACCTTCCCCATGACATACAGTCCCTATACAGTGAAGGGAGACCAAAACTCCTTCCATTGTGAACAACACCAAAAAAACCGCACAACTTTGGGTGGAAAACAATGACAACAACAAGACATTTTGCAAAAGAAAATAAAAACCCGTAAGTTGATTCTTAGTACCAAAGAATTCCAAAATAAAATATGTAATATTTTGCAAATCCACAATATTCATTTCACTGTACTACTAGATATTGTCAGAGCACACACTTGACTTAAATGGGGATGGCATTAAATTTAACCTTAATCAGGAACTAATTTAAAATGATTACTTCTTCAACTCTTAAGTAAATGTCTCAACTGCCTATTAAAATGTGCAGAGATAGTGCTGAGAAGTCTTTCAGCAGCTCATTGTCTTACCTGCATTCCAGATGACCAGAGGTGGAGTAATTCAATGAGGAACCACGAAAGTGTTACAGGTACCCCAGTCGGAAGCATGGAGAGTCATTGTAAGTGAAATAAGGCCAGAGGGAAAAGGTTACGAGAAAGAAAAAAAAGGAAAAAAGGAAAGTATATTGATTAGAAAAAATGACTTAATTTGAAGAACCCATTTTATACACATGTATAAACACACTCTTTAAAGGCTTTTAAATGGAAATCTGTAACATAATCACGGTGTTCTGCTAAAAATGTCTCTTGTCAATTATATACCTTACATTGTTCCAAGTACTAAGGACACAGCAGTGAATAAAACTGCCTCCATGTACCCAGAGCTATAGCCTAGTGGCTAAAGTCTTCTCTTTGCATGCACTGGGATCCCATATAGGCTCCAATTCATGTCCCAGCCACTCCACTTCCCACCCAGCTCCCTGCTTGCAGCCTGGAAAAGCAGACAAGGATGGCCCAAAGCTTTGTGATCCTGTACCCACATGGCAGACCCAAAAGAAGCTCCTGGCTCCTGGCTTCGGACCTGCTCAGCTCTGATTGTTGCAGCCATGTGGAGAGTGGATCAGAGGACGGAATATCTTTCTCTTTGTCTCTCCTTTTCTCTGTACATGTGACTTTCCAATATAAATAAATAAATAAATAACACACATTAATAAAAGAAAACTACCTCCACAAGCACATTTGGTAAACCATCTATATGAAAAAGAGTTCTACAGAAATATACCATATATGAGAGTTTCTCCGCATATCATGTATGCCTTTATCTATGTATAGAAAATATATCGAATGCTTTACATTTAACATTGGTATTAGAAGGAATTATCTTTATCATTCAAGGGACAGACTCAATTCATCATTTCTCCATGTGGAAAGCCTACCCCAGAAGCTATAAATCGGGTCATCTTGCAGGGGGGCCATTGGTAACCCATAAAACCCCACACACACATTTCCTGAAATGCTGGAATGTTGTCAGTGGCAGCTTCCTATACTCCAGTCCCACACCCCTCCCCCCACCAAACTTTTCTCATAGCTTGCTGCCATGTTCTGTGACAGGTGGCCCAGGTGACACTCTGAGATTGAATTCATGAGTCAACAAGTCATGCTCTGGAAGCAGCAGCAGTTGATGCACAGAAGGAACGGCAGATAGCAAGACTGTGAATCACATCCAGGTTGGAACAGAAGCAGGAAGAGTAACCTTCCTCTGAGCCAAGTTCCAGAAGATATGATTAAATATCCCTTACATGGCAACAAAAACCTAAATGTCAAAGTAGTAGAAAAGGACAAGATGGAGTCATGGGAATTTGAGGAAGACTTGGGAGGTCCAAATACTCCAGATGGAGGCTCATCTTAACAAGGAACCCCAAACTATGACAGTGTGCTCATGGCATTTGCATTCTTAGGGTTGGAACTCAGAGCTTCAGAAATAAAAATACACAGTTCATGTTGGTATTAAAGTCTCACATTTGGATGATGTAAAAACATACAAGAGCTCTTGCTTGAGAATCAAGACCCCTAATCCTGCTTTCTAATCCTGGTTTTTATGTAATGATTAATTTGATTTGGGGCAGTTTCACTTGTACACTCTATCAGGAAGCTGTAGGTAATGAAAGAGTTTGAAAAGGCTGTTTCTGAAAATCCTCTAGTTCCAATAATCTTCAATTCCCTGTTCTGTCTTTTTGTCTCAGCAAAATGTACCACTACAGCCCAGCATTTTCTAGTTTTATGAGTAAATGAGAACATGGCCAAAATTAAAGAGGCCAAATTAAAATGTGGCTGAACATCAATTTGTCCAGGAAAACAGCCTTGCTTATTTGAAATACAGAATGCCTGGTTCTTAAAAATGGAAACTTCTCAAAGGGAGACTTAACTAAAGGAAAAAAAATCTAATTGATGAACAATTGATCTACCCCATTCTCTTTCTGCTCACATAAATTATTCAACTGCCAGGAGCCTGGGATGTTGGCAATGGTTTTCCATCAGCAGAGACCTCCCCTACCTAAACACTCCAAGATCAATGCTAGGCACAAGTGGTCTTCCCAAGAAGTTCACGGAAAATGTGCACTCCCTTTTAATACCACTTTCTATTGATTTTTTAAAAAGATTTATTTATTAATTATTGGAAAGTCAGAATTACAGAGAGAAGGAGAGACAGAGAGTAATATCTTCCATCCACTGATCCACTCCCCAAGTGCCTGCAGTGGCCGGAGCTAAGCAGGTCCGAAGCCAGGAGCCAGGAGCCAGGAGCTTCTTCCGGGTCTCCCATGTGAGTGCAGGGTCCCAAGGTCTTGAGTCATCCTCGACTGCTTTCCCAGGCCACAAACAGGGAGCTGGATGGGAAGTGGAGCAGTTGGGACAAGAACTGGAGCTCATATGGGATCCAGTGCATACAAGGTGAGGACTTCAGCAACTAGGTTATCTAGCCAGGGCCATGAAATTTTTGAAATACTCCGTGGTTGCTCAGGTTCTCAGAGCATCACCACCATGTTGGTTTGATGGCAAATCTATAGCAGATAATAAACTCTGGCAAACAACCACCAGTTACTGTAACAGAGCTGCCAAGCAAGAAGCCCATCCCGCCTCTTGGTTTCCGAAACCAAACTGGCTTGCTCACCTTCTCTCCAACTCCCACACCCAGTGCTGCTGTGCCTTGATTGTCTGTCTTCTCCCCACTTACAATGCCCATCTACCTCCCAGGTTGATCAGATCATCTGTAAAGAGTCTACACCAGTGGTGCTATCCAACATGTTTAATAACCAAGCTGGCCTGGGAACTTTCCAAACCAGTGAAGGAATGAACTCCTTAAGTTGTACAGACAGGCCAAAGTTTTGGGTGGAGATCACATATGTAAAGCCTGTAGCAAAACACCAGATCCAGAATCAGTATGTCAAAACTTGTATGCAAAACATTTTTTAATCTAGAGAGGAATACCAATAAGAGCATTGTTCAAAAGCATAATGACCCTGTGGCAGGCAAGGGATGCAGCTTCCAACTCCCTGTTGCTAAGCTATCATGCTGCTCTGGGCATGGAACCAGATTTTCAAAGCCAGTGCTTAAAGGCTCATGCATAGAAAAGGCAAAATCAAAAACATCCACAGGGGCAGGTACAAGGCAAAGTGACTGAATGACCACTCTGGTGCCCACATACCATATTGGAGTGTTAATTTTTGAGCCCTGAATTTGTTCCTGATTACAGATTCCTACCAGTGTACATCCTGGCAGGCAGCAAGTGATAACTCAAGCATATAGGTCCTTGCCATAAACATGGGTGATATAGACTAAGTTCTTGGTTCCTGATTGTGGTCTGGCCCAGCATGGGTATTCTGGGCATTTGAGGAGTGAACTTCCAGATGGGGCATTCTCCCTCTCC